GTTAAGAGCCTGGGCTGCAAGTCTGGCTGCTGGACTAGTCCTTTGTCCACCTTCTGCCAGCTATGTGACCTTAGGTATGAAACCATACCTCAGTTTCTTAACCTGGGTCATTGAAGTTGTACAGTATCTTTTACATTGATGATGGAGGCTCCAAATGCACTGATTCTGGCTGCTGCCTTTGTGTAAAGAAAACATCTTCCTTCCTCTGGGGGCATGAAGCCCCTCCCCCAGCACAGAGCTTGGTGGGTGGGGACTAGGGTTGATTTTGCCTTCTCAGCCAGGCACCAAGCACATAACTGTACACAGCAGCCCTGTGAGATTGTTATGAAGATTAGATAAAATGACCTATGTGCAGTGTCTGGCATTGTGCTTAATAAATTTTAGCTACTATTATAATAATAAATATTAAATAAATGCGTGACTCAATTAGTATACCAAGAATCAGTTATCAGTCAATACTGTAAGGGAAAAAAAGCTCAACAAAATAGTAGATAACATTAAAAAATTGCTGTGTAGCAATAAGACATCCTTACGCTAACAGTTGAATAAGGGTGGACTTGTATGTTAGAGAATTCACTGCAAATCAGAGAATCCAACCACATGTGAGGATCCAGTTGAGCAAAAACCAAAGGTCAAACCACATACCTCTTGGGGGCTTTTGACTGCTCTGCTCGGCACTCCATTCTGGGGACGGACTGACCACCTCACCTCTCAGACCACTGGAAAGCTTAGGTACAGGCAGACTTGTCCTCGCTCTCTCAGTTTGCTGCCTTGATGTCCACACTTTCCTGGCAGGAGAAAAATTATGTATTATTTTAATTTAAAAGATCTTCCCTTTCAGCTTTGCCTGGTTGGTAGATTGCACACAGAAGTAAGCATACACAGGGACAGCGGCGCTATCTGTAAGAAAGATGTTCTGAGAATTGCATCATAAAAATAGTAGGCCAATAAATTTTACTGTGTGTATGTGTGACAGAGATTTTACTTTTAGATTATACCCCCAAACCCCCAAGACCCCACAGCCTTTTTTTCTATAGCTATTCTATCTCTCCTCATGAACTCCCATTCTACTCAACAGTGGGGGAAGAAAACATGCTCTTGCCAGTGAGAGTCATTCAGTCTTTCAGTTCGGTCTCTGGTAATTATTGACTCTTGCATTTCTCCCTCTTTATCTTCAAGAGAGAGTCTAGATGTAGAGGAGAGCCTGTGGGTCTTTGCGTGAGTGAGGGCAGAGCCTTGGGTCTACTTGGGGCTTTCTGTTCTTTGTAGAAAGCCTTTGTCCCACTGGGCACCTTGCTTTTATCTGAAGATGGTGACAATGCGTGACCAGCAAGACCCTCTTAAGTGCTCACATTGGCTCTCCTGGAAGAGCAAGCTGACATGTTTTTCACCTTCCCTGGGAGACTCTCAAGGGCCTGGACGGAGCCTGGTGTAGCTCAGCGCAGTCTAGGTTGTTGATGTCTGTAGCAGAGGCTGGGAGTGGGCCCCAGGATCCACTCTCTTCTTCTGTTATAGTAATAGAATCTTTCATTGGGCAAATGGCTCCCCAGATAAAGACTTCGTTACCCAGCCTTCCTGTAGGTAGGGAGGGCCATGAGGACTGAATTCTGATCAGAGAGATGTCAGAAGTGTCAGGCCCTTTGAGCAAAGGGGCATGCCTTCCCCTTCTCATTGGTTAGACCGTGGATTTAGTGATGGGCGTGAGCTGTTGAGGACCATGAGGTTGACAGCAACACCCCAAGGACGGGGGAGCAACAAGGGGAAAGAAGTCTGGGTCCCTGATAACACCAGAAACTATATCCTAGGTATGTAATATTATACAGGATTCTATTTGAATTTGATTTGTCTTATGAGTCTATTCCCACCAAAACCGCATCTCAACCCCTTTCCCCCCAAGTGCTTTAGGTAGAAGAGATATTTTCCTTGAAGATTATCAGTCATCTTGAGAAGACCTCACCCACAGAAAGGATTTGAGGACTAAGGTGGCCATGGGCCAGAGTGGGATAATAAGCCCTTTGCCTCTCAGGGCCTCCTGGGTAGGGCCAGGACCCAGGAGAGAGGGCGTGTCCTCTGAGGAGGGTAAGCTAGTCTAAGGGAGGGAGTTGCTGGCTAGGACTCCCTGAAGATGGGCTAGTTCTGAGTTGGAAACATACCAGCAAAGAGGAGCCTGCTCCCGACTGTCACTGAGGCTGACAAGGAAGCTGAAGCCATGAGACCAGGTCAACCCACAGGACAGCCCCTCTCTCCCTCATACACACACACACACACACATATGCATACGCATATGCAATACACACACATGCATGTGCCGACACGCATACACGTATACATAACACATACACACATGTACATACACAATATACACATGCATGCGCACACACACACGCACACCTGGTGGAAATGTCAGCATGCTGGGGAGCTCTTAGGCCCTTTGAGAGGCTTGATTTCCAGCAAGTGGTGGGGTTCAAGCCCTCGCACACTGATTATTTTAAAGGAAGCGTTACTTGGGTTTGAGTGAGAGGCAGAAGGCTGGTGCTAAAAAGATGGGAAGGAGGTGAGGCTTCCCTTCATCCGTTCTGAGTACCCCTCTTTCAGGGTACCATATTCCCCTGAGACTCCTCTCCCAGAGGGGCTGCTGCCTGTTCAGTCTCACTGGCTCCCCCTCCAGGCCTCCTGCATGACTGCCACCTGGCCCTTTGCCCTTCTTGACCCTTTCCTGGCCCAGATCTGGCCAACTCCCTGCCTTCTGAGGGCACGCTGGCTCCTCTGACACACTCTCGGGGCTGATGAGATAGACACAGAGCAGGAAATGGAAGTTTAAGCCACTCCCCAAGGCCACAAGGCTAGTATGTGGTGGAGCTGGAAATTTAACCCATGCAGTCCAACTCCAAGCTCTGGGCTCTTTGCCCTAAGTCCTCCAGACTTTAGAAATCATCCTTCCTTTAACAAATAAATAAAATGACTTATGCCCATCTCCCACATCCTGTGGGAAGTCCAGAACCTCCCCAGCATTTCCAAGGGTTCCTGCGTGGTGGAGATTGAGTTACACCCTCCTGGTTATACCCACTTACATTTTTGATCCTTCAAGTCCTCTTGCCTCCAGCATGTGCTGACCCCTGCTTCCCTTCCCTCACCCAATACAAGAGCACTGTCTCTCTCGATTCCCCAAAGCAAACCTAAGTCAAAACCAGCATGTTATGCGTGTTCTTAGGGAATGAGGATGCTTAGTGATAACAGAGGCTCAATGTACCACCACGGAGCTCCGGAAAGAGCTGCAACTCAAAATAGGGCATGACTGCTCTGCACACCCACTCCTACATTTACAGGAAAGGGGTGAAAGGACACGGGAAGCCCCTACTCTCACCCTCTCTCCCTCACCCTTCCTAATACCAGCTGCATCCTGCCCACAAGAGCCTCGTCTGTGAACTCTCTGGCTCATGTCTACTTCGTTTAGGAATAGGCCTGCATAGGATCAGGGAATTCCAAGGTTCTGGAAGAGGGGGAGAGACTCAATGTGGACACACCCCACTGGCCCCATGCAGTGGTGAGCCATCAGCACAGGCTCTTGAGAGCCAAATCATTGCCTCCTAACTCCACTTTCAATGGTATCACCCTGGTAGTTTGAAGTCTGCTATGGCATGGGGGGATATTTACACAATGGAAACTCGGAAACACTTCAGTCTCTCAAATCAATTTTTTTTTCCCCTAGAGCCTGTTTATCAGTGTACCACTGGCCCATGGATGCCCAAGCTCAGGGACACAGCCAGAGAAAGCCCAGAGTGGAGCCCTCTAAGGCAGCAGTTCTCAGACTTTGCTACATACTAGAATCACCTGAGAGTTCTGGCGGTGGACTGTATTTTTTAAAAGTTTCTTAGGTAGTTCCAGTGCACAGCCAAAGCTGGAGACCAATGCTCTAAAACATCTCTTATGAAAATTTGATGGACATATAAATAGTCTGGGGATCTTTGAAATGACAGATTCTGGTTCAGTAAGTCTGGGGCAGGGCCTGGAATTCTGCATTTCCAACAAGCTCTCCAGTGCTACTGATGCTGCTGTTCTGTGGACTACAATTTAATTAGCAAGAGTCTAACGCACAGGGCCCTAGGGAGGTACTGTTATTCTGAGGACCTTCAGTTTTGCCTGTCATGGAGAGGTTTTCATCAGAGTTACTTTTCTCCTTAAATCCTGACCTTAGCCATTTTGGGGGAGCTTATTCTGATCCCTTTTACCCTATTCTGGGTAATGAGGGGAATCCTCTAATTCCTGCCACCTCATTATGCAGATTACTTCACTTCTAGATGATGCCAGGAGGCTCACCTTTCGTAACCAAACAGGTATTTTCCTAAACAATCAAGCCATTTTTCTTCTGCTTCCTACCCCGCCTCCTACTCATCCTCCATCTCTAGAATTCAGACTTGTACATACAGTGATTTTTCTGTATCATTTGTTTTCCTTTCCTATTATATCGGGAAAGACTGAGACTTAGTGATAAGGGCCTGACACAGGTGTGGACGACCTGCACGAAGCAGATGATGGCGGAGGAGAACAAGGCAGGGCATGCAGAAGAGGAGCCAGACTGAGGAGCCCAGAGGGTGATCCATTAGTCATACGGCTCTTATCCCCAGACCTTCAGCTAAGAGGAAACACAGGACTTGTCTCAGAACTGAAATGGTAGTGCATCTTTCATAGGTTAACCACAAAACCTGGTGTATCCATAAAACACAGTATTATTCAACCTCAAACAGGAATGAAGTATGGATACACGTTACAGCACAGACGAACCTTGGAAACATGGGAAATGAAATAAGCCAGATGCAAAAGAACAAATATTACGTGAGTCCACTTATATGAGATGCCAGGTGTAGTCAAACTCATAGAGGCAGAAAGTAGAGTAGAGGTTACTAGGGGCTGGGAGAGGCAAGAATGAGGAACTATTGTTTAATGGGTGCAGAGTTTCTGTTTGGGATGGTGAAAAAAATTCTGGAAATTGGTAGTGGTGATGGTTGCACAGTATTGTGAATGCACTTAATGTCACTGAACTGGAAATGGCTAAAACAGTAAATTTTATGTATATTTTACTACCAGAAAAAAAAAAACCCAAACAAATTAGGAGTCTTGGCTCTTGCATCTTCCATAGCCTCAGGCCAGGCCTTTCTCATACAAGTCCCTGAAGGGCCCCAGAGGGGACAGATGAGGCCCAAGGGCGGGGTGAGCTGGCAATCCAGACAGCTGTGCCTGGAAGCAGGAGGGGCAGTTTTGCAGATTCTGCTTCTTCCTGGGACTCAGCACCACCATTTGGCTCACGGGTAAGCCTTCCTTCGAAAGATCCCAAATGTTTTGCTGTTTTTCAGTTTTCACCTGTCTTTTGATTGGGATGAAGCCAGCTCCCTCCCAGGGATTAATATTCACAACAAGCAGCGAGCGATTAATTTACCCAGTTGAAATTTACTGCGCACTCGCCTTCACTCCAAGCCAGCTTCTGCTGGGTGTTTCTTTTTCATCGTTGATGCATTGCACATGACAGCCCCTCAGCATCGGAATTTAAAGCACACCGTCGCACAGAATTCCTGCCGCCCCGCTGCCTCTTGCCGACCTCCTGAAATCCACCGAGCTCTGAGTTCCACACCGTGTCTCAGAGAAGGGAATTCTTGACTTCTGGCCTCTGGGAACATTTGTGAGTCTTGAGACAGTTAAAGATTGGGATCTCATGCCTGGCCCAGGGAGCTGATGACTCATTTCATTTCAGGGGGCTTCTGTCAATAAATTCTGACTCTAACTTACAGGCCCATCCTCCCCTCCCACCAGCTGTCACAAAACCCAACCAGAGTCAGAGCCTGTCTCTCAGACGTTCAGGAAACTGTCTTTGCCAGGTCCATCCTCACCCAGGGTCACACATGGGCCACCGGGCACAGTGTAGCTTCTCGGGTCCAGTCCCTCTCCTCCCACATCACCCCACTGGCCACCCTGCAGCCTGACTGTCTAGGGAGGACTCTACTGCGGGTGCCTAAGAAGGCAGAACAAAGGCCCGCTTGCTTGCGGAGTTCCATTTGGAGGACGCGACAATTTCAGAGCACAAATGGAAAAAAAAAAAAAAGAAGGTTTGAAATCTCTATAGCTGGCTTTTATCAAACCAGAACTTGTAGCTCTCAGCTGACAATCAGCCAGCAGCTAAAACCCACGAGGGACGGTTCTTTCACGCAGCTTCTGGCTGGTTATGATCTACCAGCAGCCTCCTGACCCTTTTTCCAGGGAAGTAACAGCTGGCAGCTGACAAAGGCGCTGGCAGAGTGGGCAACTTTCTCTTCTCTGGAAACAGAAATAAGATTGGCAGGAAACAAGGCATTTAAAATATGACAATTATAAGCATTTTTTCACTTGCCTTTCTTTATGATGCTTTTGGATTCTGGCTCTGATTGCTAAAATGTATTATGTGCTAAGGAGTTTTGATGGCTATTTTTTTTTTTTGCAGAGTAGATGTCCCAGCTCTTTCCCTGTCACTAACACTAACCCAGACAAAGGTGCATTCCACCAGTGTTGTCTATTTAACTGTCTTTAAAACAACTGTCAGTAAACAAAGATAATAGACTTATGGCCATGCGTGTAAAGGAGCTTAAATGTGGTGCTCCTGACTGATGAAAACACAGCTTCAGGTATTTGGGATCAACAGATACACATTACTGTATATAAAATAAACAACAAGGACCTACTGTATAGCACAGGGAACTGTAGTCAATTTCTTGTAATGAACCATAATGGAAAAGAAACTGAAAATATACATATGTCTGTATGTATATGCATAACTGAATTGCTTAGCTGTACACCTGAAACTACCATTGAAAACTGACTATATGTCAATAAAAAATAAGAATAAAAAATTACTGCCCCCCCCACCCCCCAGCCCACAGCTTTAGCTTGTCAGAGCCTGCCAGGCAGGGCCTTCTGCAGTGTTTGCAGCAGCTGCGGAGCAGAACTGCTGTGGTGACGCGACGTGTAGGTGGAGTCACTAGTGGTGGGTGGATAAAGATCAGCTTAGCCTAATTTCTCCCTTCAATGCACTGCCCAGTCCTCTGTTTTTCTGTCAGAAAGGGCAGAGGGGTGGAGATACAGCGGAGGCCCCAGCAGAGGAGGGCGTGATCGTGGGAGGGGATAAGCAGCCTTAGGAGAGTGGAGGACGTGGTGTGAGGGTGCCGCACTTCAGCCACTTTGGTTCCAGCTGCTTTGTGCCTCCCTTCACAGGACCTAGCACTTTGGGGTTGTAGTCATTACATTAGTAGCAATGTTGTTTTTATCCTGATAATAATATTACAATTGTTATTGTAACAGTTGTCCTATGTAGAAAATTTTAATTAAAATGTAGATGTTCGAGGTAATGTTTGTCCAAAGAGCACCAGGTAGATGGGGACAACAAAGCCTGGGTTCTGAACTCAAGTGGCCCATAGGACAGAGAAATACTTAGAAAGTCAAAAGGAGTAGACTAGATGGGAAGTATCACATGTGTAATGTTTCCATTACACATATATTATTACAAATGATACACATACACATGCATTTGGACTTGGTAAGCAGAGAATTTTCAGAGCACTGGTTCTGTTTCTTACATTCTTGCCTAAGAAAAAACCGAGTCTACGTTGAGAGGAAGGCTGATTTTTCAAGACGGTGGACTGTACACATGGGTTTCTATCTGCTCCCTCCCACGGACCCATTAAAATGATAATGAAGGAATATGAAAAAGATCTATCCCATAACACAAAGAGAATTGAGGAGCAGGAATCAGTGGATAGTGAGAAAAGGAAGGTAAGAAAGAAGACAGTTGATTTTTTAAATAATTTGTTTTTTAAATTGTATCACTTGGTTTTTAAATTATGTAGGTATATTACTTTGATTAAAAAAAAAGTTTTGTTTTTTTCTTTTAATTTGGAAGGAGCTTGGTTGTTGTCTTGTTCCTACTCCCGCTTTTACTCAAGATCACACATACACCATCCTAAGGACATGAGCGGCCATCCTACTTTTAACAATCGCCAGAGAAAGGCAATGCCATTCTCTCCTTAACTGAGCCATTTCATTGTCTGACAATCCTCATGGTTTTGATTCATGTCTTCCTTGCAGTCTGAAGGTGATAATATCCTGTCTGAAGGAGCTAATGTACACCCAGGGAGTACCCTGGCTCCGTTCAATGAAATAAAATGTCCAGAGCTGTCCCCTCTCTGTTTTATATAGTGACACACTTTTATGTGTGATTAAGAAACAAAACAACAAAGGGGGGAATGCACTGAACTTATCAAAGTACAATACTTGCTGTTTCCCCAGAAAAACTTGTGCTTTCATTCTATTTCTAGTGCTGTTAGGCTGACCCTAGGGAACCAAAAATGTTTTGCACTGAAACAGAGATGAACACTTAACAGCTAGAGTCAGCCCATGGCAATACTGTGAAGTAGGCAAAGTTTGTCATTAGGATTTTTACATCATTCCTTGCTGGGTCTTTCTTCTTATTGTCCCCTCTCTCAGCTCCAAGGCACTTACTACTCTGTAGGTGCCAAGAAAACAAAACATACTATTTTACACTACAGTGTCATTGACTTTCTTGTGAATTCTACCCCGAGGACATTTGCATCTCATTTCACTCAGGATCCAATCAAGAGGGAGAATCTCTGTGGCAATTTGGACAGAGAAAGTATAATATGAAAAATTATTAACAATAAGAAGGGATTAAAGTAGCGAAGAGTAAGAAGTAAAGAGAACTCTAAGGAATTTAGGAATGAAATAGACTTACCATATGATTCAGCAATCCCACTCCTGGGCATATATCTGGAGGGAACTCTAATTTCAAAAGACACATGCACTCCAATGTTCACAGTAGCACTATTTACAATAGTCAAGACATGGAAACAACTTAAATGTCCATCGACAGATAATTGGATAAAGAAGCTGCGGTATATTTATACAATGGAATACTACTCAACCATAAAAATAATAAAATAATGCTATTTGCAGAAATATGGATGGACCTGGAAATCATCATTCTGAGTGAAGTAAGCCAGAAAGAGAAAGGAAAATATCATATGATATCACTCATATGTGGACTCTAAAAGAAAGAAAAAAGAAGACACTAATGAACTTATCTACAAAACAGAAACAGACTCACAGACATAGTAAACAAACTTATGGTTACGGGGGAAAGGAAATGGGAAGGGATAAACTGGGAGTCTGAGAGTTGCAAATATTAACTACTATATAAAAAATAGATAAAAAACAAACTTCTGTATAGCATAGGGAACTATAGTCAATATCTTATAGTAACCTATAGTGAAAAAGAATATAAAAATGAAATATGCATGTATATGTATGACTGAACTATTATGCTGACACCAGAAATGGATACATTATAACTGACTATATTTCAATTAGAAAAAAGAATTTGGGAATGGCAGATAAGGAACAACAACAACAACAGCCCTCAGGGCTGGGAGAGAGTTCTTGAGGAAGAAGCCCCCAAGGGCTGAGATTCAGACTTTCTTGAAGAGGGCACAGCTGTGGCTTACTGGATGGCAGAGAAGACTCTGGGATACTGCACCAATGGAACTTGCTGGAGATCTGCTTTCTAGGATGTCAGGAAAAGCTGATCACAGAGTGGTATCTCACCAGAGGTACTCTACTACAAAACCACCTGAGGTGGGAGAAATGCCAGAGGAGCTGCTGGCCACTGGGAGCTGCTGGCTACCATGCACTGCAGGAACTGGGTCCTGGAGAAGTGGCTGGTGCTGTCGGAGCCTGGTAATCTGCAGCAGTCTGCCAAGCAAGCATGAGGGAACCAGGACAGAAATCCCCCTCCACTGCAGTGTTTCTCCAGTATCCTCTTTTGACAAAACTTACCAATGTACCAGTGGCCAAGGAAAAAAATATTTAAAGGGTACGGATCCATTTTTGAAGAGCAGGCAGTGAAGGATGAATTTGGAGCTGAGAGGCAATAAATTGATAACTGGCACACATTTTAAAAGAGAAAGAAAAGATCAAGATAATGATGAACCCAATGGGATGATTGTAAAGTCCCAGAATAGGCAGGCTAGAGAAGAGCTTTCTTTAGAGGAGAGCTTTCTTTTTCTTTTTTCGGGGGGGGGGTGTAATTAGGTTTGTTTATTTATGTATTTATCTATTTATTTTAATGGAGGTACTGGGGATTGAACCCAGGACCTCATGCATGCTAAGCACATGCTCTACCATTGAGCTATACCCTCCCCACCTTGGAGCAGGAGAGCTTTCTAGTGGTCCAGAAACCACACTATGCAGGTGACATAAATGCATGTCAGGATTGAGTAGGGTTATTACATGTTGCTTCCAGGTAGGAAAGGGATGCTGTCAGGCCCTGAACTCTTAGTTCAGGTTCACCGTCATTCCTACCTATGGCTGAGACTGGCTATGTTCCCATCAATTCTGTTTCTTCTTTCAAGCACATGAGGGAACAGCATTCCCCAGGCTTCTTGCTTCTATGTGAAGTATGCAACATGTTTCAGTTGATGAAATGGAATATGTGAAGAAGCAATAAATGCCATTTCTGGATTGGGCCCCTAAAGTGTCCCATTAGACTGTCAGTTCACCGTCCCTTCATTGATGGCCCTATGAAGGCAGAGGATCCAATAGAAGGTGTCAAAGAAGCTCTGGAGGATGGTGGTGGAATAAGAAAGAGCCTGAGTCATCGCTCTGAGGAGAGAGACGCAGGTGAACTGCTCAACCCACATTAGATTAGAATGTGACTAAACTGTGTTAAGTCAGTCATCCCTCGGAGACTTCTGGGATTTTTTTGTTACTGCAGCTAGTATTAATTTCCCTGGGCAAATGAAGGCCCCCCTAGGACAGCCCCAATCTTAAGTAGTGGAGAGAGATTACGCATCATTCCTTTTCTTTGAGCTCGTCAAAACGTGGAAGGTAGATCATATATTCATTTCCATTCTGTGTCTCCTAAGTGTGGGCCGTCAGAGCCCCCAGTGATTTTCCACCACCCACTGTGGCAGGCAAAGCATGGTAACTAGGTTTCCATACTGAATAGACTCCGTGAAGGTGAGCGTCAGGACCCGTTCTCACTTCTGGGAGTTAATTGTTGGTACAAAAAGGCTTGACATGGAGGCCCATGGTGGGCCTCAGTACCCAGAGAATTTGTCCTGGTGCAGGAAGGGAGCACTTTCCTGCCAAAGCTCAGGCTCCACTGCTTCAGGTGGCCCTGCTCCTGGTCCACACCACATGCCTCTGGAAGAGCCCCGAGGTCTGGGCTCCACTCTTCTCTCCATTATTCACGGAAGAGTGGAAGCAGGTTTGGTCCCCGCTACAAATATTTAGAAAGTACATTGTTTTCTATATTTAAATGTGTATCTATTAAATATGGACATATACATTTTTCTCTTTCCATATATACAGACTCTTTTTTGAGTGTGTATTGGTAATAAAGGAAGGATACTGCACGCAGGTTTTTTGCCATCTGCAAAACCAAGTGAGATCTACTTCTGCTGCCCTCTCTGTTTTATGGCTGTTGGTTTTAAAGCCAACTCGGAGACACCTCTGCCACCTCAGCCTGGGAAGAGCGTCATCCTGGACCTACGCTGTTTGAGGTCCTCAGGAGAACTGCTCTGACCCTCAGGTGGTGTCTTTATGTGACGCCAGTGGGGTTAGCACAGATCTCCCGGAGGTCTGCCTCCTGCGATTCAGTGCCTCATGAGTAAATCACTTTTAACAGCAGTGTGGCACCGTATAAAGTTTATGTAGGATGGACATAAATTTGGGTCTGAAAAAGCAGAGTTTCCTGTGGTGACAGGCAGCTAGGCTGGGGTGCGTTAATACCCGTTCACTCCTTTGTTAGACTGAAAATTATATCAGCTGGAGGCCTGAGGAGCCCAGGACACAAAATGAGGGCCTACGGAGGGGGAGATGCTGGCACACAGTATTTGAATCCAAACTCCGAACAGCTTTTGATACAGTGAGGTTTGCTTGGAGTAGGAAATCTATTACCCAGATGGCAGCTCCCTTTAACCCCCAAAAGACACCTTCCTGGAAGTTATGATGAACTCCAGAGGAACCACAGAATTAGAAGGATGGGGTGGCAGCAATTTCATTCATGGACACATGATTACATGGTTCTACTTTAGAATTCTGGTTTGGGACAAAGGATCTCCAACAGAACTTGCTGAACCAAACATTTTCAGGGCTTTTTACATGAGATCTACATCAGTCCCCCAGCACTGCTGCAGAATCCGCATTTTCAGCTTTGTCTTTGATTTCAGAGTTGCACAGGTTGACGTTTGTGAACACAAGGGGCCCGGGAGTCTACAGAGTTGAGGGCTTTTCACACACCTAAGCCCCAAACCACATTAGCCCTGACAGACTTGCTCATGGCATCGGCTACACTGCCCAGGTGTTCTAAATGATTGCCCTCCAAAAAAAGGTGGCTGTTGGAGGAAGGGAATGCCATCTTCAAAAAATGCCAAGTGGCATATCTGGGTTAGACCTGGAGCAGCCCCAAATGCCAGCTCGCTAGAGGCAGCTTTGCAGGTTTGGTACAGGATGGGGCCACAGTGGAAGCTGTGTACTCCTGGGGGCAGCGAGCTCTGCTCTGGGGAGCACCTGGACCATGAAGGCTGCTGTGGCTCTGCATGCCCCAAGAGAGGTGAGGTGGAGAAGAGAGGAGGCGTGGCACTTCAGGGAGTGAGTCACGACTGAGAAAGTCTCCCACAAAAGCTGAGCCCACGTGAGGGAAGTGGCATGGCACGGAGATCAGGAGGCTGGATTCTGGCACCTGGTGGGTTGCACTCAGTCTTTCTTTCCCCACTTATTAGCTGTGTGACCTTGGGCAAGTCACTCAGCCACCTTGTTTGCTAGTTCTCCAACTATGACTTGGTGATAACAGGCCTCAAGACGGGTAAACTGTTTAGAACAGAACCTGGCCTATCAGGGGTAATTTCGGAGCAATAATCATCCAAGGACCTATAGGGGAAGCGAAGGAGGTGGGAGTCCCTCTCCTCCCCCACCTCAGGCTTCACGGCCACAGACACTCTGCTGGCAGACATGGAGGGTGGGCACATGACATCAACATGAAATTCATACTTCCTGGACGTCTCCTTCTATTTCAGGTGGGGCGGTGGCAGGCCCTGGGGTGGGGCTTCACAGGGCCTGGGCTTCCCCCTCAGCCCTGATGCATAGGCCGTACACCCAGTCTTCCTGGTCTGTCTGTTTATCCTTGTCCCAGGTGCCACTCTGCCTCATAGTTTTATAGTAAGGCTTCAATCTGATAGTATAACTCCTCCAACTTTATTCTTCTTCAAAATGGTTTTGGCTATTCTGTATATTTTATTTTGCCTTTCCTTATATATTTTAAAATCTTGTCAATTTCCATAAGCTCTTCCATTGGGACTTTGATTGGGATTGCCTTGACTCAGCAGATCAATGTAGAGAGAACTGAAATCTTAATAGTAAGTTTTCCAATCCATGAAGATAGAATATCTTTCCTCAATGATTTAGCTTGAATAACAATAATTTGAGTAAATCTTTAGTATTTTCAAATAGCTAAGCATAGAGTTACCATATGATCCAATAATTCCACTCCGAGGTATGTACTCAAGGGAACTGAAAACATATGTCCTCACAAAAACTTGTACATGAATGTTCTGAGTAGCATTATTCACAATAGCCAAAAAGTGGAAACAACTCCATCAGCTGATGAATGGATACATAAAATGTGGTATATCCATGTAATGGAATATTATTTGGGAACAAAAAATAAAGTACCAATACATGCTACAACCATGGATAAACCTTGAAAACATTATGCTAAATAAACAAGGCCAGTCACAAATGACCACATATTGTATGATACTATTTAAATAAAATGTCTAGAACAGGCAAGTCTATAGAGACAGAAAATAGATTAGTGGTTGTCTGGGGCTAGGGGGATGGGAAGAAAATGAGTAAGTGACAGCTAAGGGGCTTGGGGTTTCTTTCGGGGTAATGAAAATGTTCTAAAATTGAATGTGGTGAGGGTTGCACAACTCTGAAAAAAGCGATTAAATTGTATGAATCATATGGTATGTGAATTATATAAATGAGTAAATCATATGGCATATAAATTATATCTCAATAAAACTGTTTAACATTTTTTTAAAGTTATACTGTCCATAATCTAACATCGGCTGAATTGTGTCCCTCCAGAATTCATATGTTGAAGCCCTTACCCTCAGCGCCATTCTGATGTGGTTGTTTGGAGATAAGGCCTTTAAGAGGTGATTAAGTTAAAATGAGGCCATTAAGGTGGGACCTAATCCATCGACTGTTGTCCTTATAAGAAGAGGAGGTAAGGGCACGCAGAGACATGAGGGATCATGCACACAGAGGAAAGGCCATGTGAAGACACAGTGAGAAGGTGGCCATCTGCATGCCAAAGAGAAAGGCCCTGAAGAAGAAATCAAACCTGCAGACACCTTGATCTTGATTGGACTTGTAGCCTTCAGAACAGTGAGAAATAGATTTCTAGTGTTTAAGCCACCCAGGCTGTGACATTTTGTTATAGCAACCTTAGCACACTCACACATCTATATTGATGTTTATATTCTTCAGTGACCAATTTAGTCTAAAATGTATCAGCATGTAAACTTCCCAAGTCTAAAGCAAAGTCAAACTGTACCATGTTTTCCACATCTGTAGAGCTTCTTGTGTGTGAAAACATTTTGATTGTAAGCAGTACTTAGAAATTCCTGAGTTTTTTTTCATTTTTAAAATTTTAGACAATTGAGACTAAATTTGGGGGGAGAAGATAATTATTGAGAAATAGAATTTTGAAATACTGTGTGTATTAATGCTTTGTAGTTCAATAAAAAGTTCAAAAATAACATGGACATAGATTAAATTATTGGAAAAA